GCCACCTCAGGAGGAAGCAGTGTCCGTGTGGTACTAATCGTTCTAGAGAATAGCACAGGAAAGAAGCTTTACAGCTTTTTTATGAGCCCAGCAAAATCTCGATACCAGAATCTAACAAATGCATCACAAGAAATAAAAATTTAGGCAAATTCTGTTTCATGAAAATAAATTCAAACCTTTTAAACAAAGTATCAGCAAATAGAATCTAGCAATATATAAAACTGATGCTACATGATGATTAGTTGGGTTTATTTTTGGAATGCAAGGTTTATTTAACATTTGAAAACCATTGTCATTCAGTTTAGTAACAAGGAATGCAAAAAAGTGTATGGTTATGTTAATGGATGCTGAAAAAATTTTGATTAAACTTGGTACTTGTTCATGGTGAAAACTCTCAGCAAATTCCAGGACTAGAAGGGAACTTCCTTAATCTAATAAAGATAATGCAAAAATCATACTTAGTGGTGAAATATTGAAAGTTTTTTCTCTTCAGAGCGAATCAGGGTGCTTTCTTCCCCAGTTCTGTTAGACCAGAGAGCCTTGCCAACAGAGTAAGTCAGAAGAAAGAAATACAAAGCAAAGGATTTGAAAGAAAGAAAGAAAACTATTGCTATGGGCAGATGACACAACTGTGTGGAAAATCCAGAAGACTCTACAGACCAGCAATTAGAATTAATAAGCAGACTTAACAGGTTTCTAAATACAAAGTCAACATACAAAAACAAAATGTATAAAGCAGTAACAGAAAAGTAACTCCCAAATTTTTAAGTTTACACTAACATCAAAGAAAAACACGAATTAGTAAAAAGCAAAAGTTGTACAAAATCTCTGCATTGTAAGCCACAAAACATCACTGAAAGAAACTGAAGGAGACCTACATGAATGGAGAGGTGTGCTGCCTTCACGGGAGAAAGAAGTCTCAGCATCTAAAGATGTCAGTGACCCTCAGAATAACTTCCACAGTCAGCGCGACCCCAGTCAGACTCCCAGCGTCAGTGCAGTGGCAGGGAGCAGCGAGAGGGAAGGAACTTACGCAGCACGGACAAACCTCCCACAGCCAGAGACGAAGTGAATACGCTGTCTGACTCATTTTTACAGAAAGAAGGCAAGTCCTGTCTGCGGTTTGAGAAGTTAGTGCTGCCTTTGGGGGCAGCAGACAGCATCCGGAGGGGACAGAGGAGTCTTTGCTCTTTAATCTGATGTCCACACTGTTGGTCTGTGACCGCTCAAGTGGTACACACAGGATTTGTGCTTTGAGGGGATGATACACTTCATTTAAAATTTGCTTCAGAACAGACAAGCAGCTGTGAAGGGATGAACCACAGGAGATGAACAGAAATTGATTCCCTTTCAGAAAAGTCTACCAAGTCAGAGAATTGCCCCCAGCTTACTCGGAGAAAACACGGAACTTCTGTGTTAGCGCAGATTATCCACTAGTTCAGTTGACACCAGCTGAGCAGTCACTGTGGAGTGCACTGAGCGGGGAACCAGGTTGCAAGTGTAGACGAGGAGCGTCTACAGGGGCGGTGCCAACAGCAGCTCTGAGCACCACCGTCTGTGAGGGTGAGACTTGGGGCTGGCTGGGCTGGGCTGAGTGGGGAAGTGGTAGTTGCAGTTTGCAAAGAGAAAGCGGCATTCGAGACGAGAGCTGTGCGGTAGAGCTCTCCATGGTGAGGGACGTGTTCTGTTTCTGTGCTGACCAGTACCCTGGCCACTCAGCGCATGTGTGGCTACTGAGTACTTGAAATGTGGCCAGGGCATCTGAGAAGCTGAACGTTTCATTTACTCGGTTAGAGTTTGGATCCCACGCGTGGCTGCTGGCTCCTGCGTTGACCAGTGAGTGCTGGACCAACTACAGCCTGTGCGTGGACGCAGGAGTACAGGGCTCGGCACGTCTGACAGCGGTAGGAGGACGGCAGGTGCTTTAAGGTGAGCGCGGAAGTAAGACGGGAGCGGAGGTGCTCGCCACAGCCTCTGTGGGAAGCAGCTTCTCGCCCGCTCAGCCCCACCTGCTTGTTTAGTTTTGTTCTTTTGAAAGAATGAGTATCTTTCAGGACATTTTCTTAGAATGTGCTGCACAACAAAAACATTTTGATTAAACCTTAGATTAATTCTGAGATATTCCTATATAGGAGTTGGAGCTAAAATAAAAACTGAGATAATCCCAGTTCATGGTAAGTTTCTTAAAATGATTATCAAGCTTCTTTTATTTTAATAAGGAAGGCTTACTTATAAAGGGGCTAAAACATCTGTCACTTTTTCCCTAATTTATTTCAGTTTGATTTAAAGTAGCTCTTGGTTAATTTGGGCAACATAAACCAGAAAATGATGGATTCAGTTGCACTCACCTTGTTCATGGAATCACTCGGGTACTTACTAGAGTCACTCCACTTTGCGAGAGGCCATCGCAGCCAGGACTTCCAGAAACAGTCTTGTGCAGTTCCTTGCTGGACGCAGGAAGTCTCTAGAACCTTAGGGCGGCCTCTCCATGCAAGAACAATGAGAGTGCTGGACACTGAGGCAGATTTGACAATGAAAAGAAATATTTCATATTAGGATGACATTCTTAATTTGTAAAAATTATCAGCCCATCAACCCAATGAGATACCTAAGCCATTTTATTCTTAAATAAATATTCAT